TCAGAAATCGACTGCTTCTGTATATCCACCTGTGAAAAAAAAGAAGTTACACGAGAGAACGCTTAAGTGAACAAATGAGTCACAAAACGGAAGCAGCAGTGAAATCCAAAATCAACTCCAGTTTCGTCACGCGTTTTGAGAGTTGGGGTGTTGGGTGTGGGTGTGGGTGTGGGGGTGTGGATGTGGGTGTGGGGGTGATCTAGAGGCCAAGGTGCCGGAGACTTCCCCCACAAAGACAAACTTGGGCAAGAAGCTGTCACCAAGTTGGGCCGGACGTCTGACAAGCCTCTGCACCCAGCTCTCAGGGGCAGCAGCAGCTGAAACATATCTCTAATTTATATATACGAAATATATATATAATGTTCAAGGTTGGAGGCCAGATGCTTGAGCTTTGCAGGGTGAATAGTCCGGGGTATGGGATTTGGTTCTATATGTGTCCAATTAACGGAGGGCCGAATCAATCCTTCCGTGCTTTCCGTAGAGTTTTGTAATTACTCCTGCTGCTTACCCCACGTATTTTTGTGATTTCGAAAATTTTGAACTGAATTCATTTGGGTTACAGTGATAGATATAGCATATACAGTAAAGATTGTATGTTGTGAAGATGTAAGCTGAGTGGGAAAGATGGGAGAAGGGGAAGATGAAGGGGGGATAAGGAACATGAGATAATGAGAACAAAGGAAAAATGACGGAGCACGGTGGATGAAATGGGGTGAAAAGAAGGTGGAGGGTAAGAGGGTTAAGATAGGGGAAAAGAGGGAGAGAAGAATAATGGTAAGACGGGGTAGAGGAGGGAAAAAGAGGGAGGAGATGAAAGAAAGGGAGGAAGAAGCATTGAAAGAAAGGGGGGGGGGTGGATATTTGAAGAGAGGGAAAGGGAGAGAGAAAGGTGGAGAAGGGGGCCGAGGAGAGGAGGAGAGAGAGAGAGAGACCCGAGTGAATTCGAGTACCTTTTCAAGTATATAACAAAATGTTCCATATATATATATATATATATATATATATATATATATATATATATATATATATATATATATATATATATATATATATATATATATATGGAACAGAAGAATCCCCAAGACATTCCACTTGATCAGTAAACAGTAGAATATAACAATGGTTAGATCAGTATATCCAACAGCTATCTAAATGAAGACCAGCCATCTAAATCACCAGGTGTGTGTATAGACATGTTTTTCCCCCATTAAGCTGTAAACCAAGCTTTTCCTCCGTGCAAATCATTAACAAATCACTAAGCTTGCTTTATTTGTACATGAGCTCTGGATCATCTCGCTTGTCGCACTGTAATGAGCACAGAGAGCTTGTGTTGAGCTGTAGCTCAGCACGTCCGCCTTCCTCGGTCAGATTAACGTCAGAACTCCTTTAGTTCAAG